CCCGCCGCCCTCAAGCCCGGGGTCGCCCCCGCCCGCCCCGGACACCCGCCGCCCCCTCAGGCCCGGGGTCGCCCCGCTTGCCTCCCCGCGCGCACTCACCCTGCTCCCCAGAGGAACCTGACATCGTAGGAATTACAAACCAGCAGCCGCGGCGCCGGCTTCCCAGAATCTGATGCAACCACCGCCCCGGAAGTCCCGCCCAGCTTCCGCCCAGCCTTCCGGGACACGCCCGGGCGCTAGGCAACCGCCGCGGACCCGGGACGCCGCCGGCTCAGGGCATGCTGGGAGTTGTAGTTGTTACAGCGCCGCGGACGTCATCCTTGGGCATCCCCGGAGCTACCCGTTCCGTGTCCGGGCCCATGACGAGGCCCGGGGCCAGCCTGGGCGCGGGGCTTGGTGGAGGTGTGTGTGGGGTTGGAGTTGGGGTGTCAGGGAGGAATGTTGCAGTCCCGCCTCGGGAGACAGGCATCAAAGACAGATCTCACGCATGCCTGTTTAAGTTGGCATTGTACCCAGTGGTGTGGGGACAGGCCCTTGCCCCCCACCCCCCACCCCTATCCCGCCTCCCCGAGACAGGAATGTGCTGGCCTGGATGGAGGACTAGTTCGAAGGAAGCTTAGAAGACGGGATTCCGGATGGGTGGGAAGTGCCTTCCAGGTAGAGGGTACTGTCCTGCAAAAGAACCCAGCAGAAAGCACAGCCCCTGATAACTTGAGCCTTGGCACAGAAGGTGCTGGAGCAGCCCTGGCAAGAGGCGGGGCTCCAGGCACAGGCCATAGCTTGGACCTTTTTGAAGCATCTTGTAAGCAAGGTCAAGAAGGGCACTGACCCCTGAAGGGTTTAGACAGGACAAGGCATGACTGTATTTGTGCTTGAGGACTGTCATTCAATTGCCAGGTGCTAGTGGAATGAACCCCGGAGAGCCAGAGGAAAGCAACGCCCGAGACCTTTCAACAGTCTGTAGGAGAGTGAATGGTGGCCTGGATTGGTAGGGTGAGTAGACAAGCCTGGGAGAGCCACAGGAAGCAGCAGACACTGGGGTGTGGCGGGGAGGGTCAACCAGAGAGTTGGTGGCATCCCACCTCTGAGAGGACACCTCAGCTCCTGAACTGGGTGGCTATAGCAGCATTTAATGAGGAACTGGAAGTCGAAGGGCTTGGTGCTGGAAGTGTGTAGGCTAATCTGGCGAGGTTTGGGGCGAGTGAGGAGGGCAGGGTGGAGATCCCATTCTGAGGGCACTGACATTCCCAGAGCCCCTCCCTCTGGCAAATCACATCCTTGGGGTCCGTTCCTTCCCCTGTGCATGCCTTCCCCTGCTAAAGATATCACACCCAAGATTGTGTACCCACCAGAAATAAAAGGAAATGCTACTTAAGACAGAAATTTTATTAGGTAAAAATAAAGAACAAAATCTTGATATCAGTACCTTCACAAAAATTTTTTTTTCAGGTTTATTTTTGAGAGAGAGAGAGAGAGAGAGAGAGAGAGAGAGAGCATGAATGGGTGAGGGGCAGAGAAAGAGGGAGACAGAATCTGAAGCAGAATTCAGACTCTGAGTG